TTAAAAAAAAAATCAAAGCAGATGGAGCTGGGCTACAAGCAGCCCAGTGTGTCTGCCCTGTTTAGATGCTTCTGTTGGACATCTCCCCACTTGGCCTCTGCCCCTGAGAGCTTTTAAAAGGATGTAAAGACTGAATTTCCCTTATCTCCAAAGCTGTTTCCTTTTGTGTGTTACTGTTATAGCTCAGATGGTATGAAGCAAAGGGTATTAAAAGGCAGACTGACTTTTCACTCTGATCCAGTCCGGGAAAGCTGCAGAAATGAAGGAGTTAAGTTTAACGCTTTGCTTTTCATGCACTAGCCCAGCATCACAAATAGTCACCCTGTCCTGTGCATCCCTTGGTGCATGATACTGGGGGCACACTGGCCTCATGCAGAGACCAGCTCTGTGTGTTAGGCTTGGTATTTGTCAGCTCTGGAGGCTCTGTTTGAATACTTTTGCTGGTTAGGATGGAAACCAGTTTATATGTGGGCACAATCCAGTTGCTGTTGGCCTGGGATGTCTGCAGCTCATTTATTTTGTCCGGAGGATGTACATGATTCCTGACCTCTGTGGTCTGGCCCCCATGCCAGCCCTATGGAGGATGTGAAGCTGTTTCCGGAGAACATATCTTGACTTTCAGTTCAGAGTCTCCCTGCGTGGCTCCCATATGCCAGCCCTGAGAGCAGCTGTGGGGGAATGCCACAGGGCAAGGCTCAGCCCTTGGAAGCAAGCACACGAACCTCCTCTGGTTGCGTTTAATTGCAGCTTTTTCTTTTGGTTGGATGTTTTGGAAAATGGTCATTGTTTTGCAATTCCTACCTTTATCCCAGTGGATGGCAGCAACAGAAACAGAGGTGGGGGGTGATACCTATAGACCTGGGCCTTGGCTTGCCTGCAGGTGACTGTTGGTGCCCCTGGGCTGTCACGGCCAGTCCCCCTTGGAAATAGAGCCTAAACGGCAGTGGTTTCCTCTCAGATGACTGCCCAGGGGTGATACCTAAAGGTGTTTCTGACAGGCTGCATCCTGTCCCTGAGGTGTGTCCAAGCGCTGCTGGCTGCTCCCTGCACATGCTGCAGTCGAACTGCTCCAGCCGGGGGGGGGTTAGGCTGTCAGGGAGGAGACATTCAGATATCAGGAAAAATGTCTTTATTGAAAGAGTGGTCAAGCATTGGAACAGGCTGTTCAGGGCAGTGGTGGAGTCACCATCCCTGGAGGTGTTCGAAAAGCGTGTAGATGTGGTACTTGGGGACATGGTTTAGTGGGTATGGTGTGGTTGGGTTGGTGGTTGAACTTGATCTTAGAGGTCTTTTGAAACCTTTTCTGTGATTCTGTGATTCCTGCTCTGCATGCAGACCCGCAGCCTCCTCCTGGCTTTATCCACAGCAGCAGCTGCCCCCAGATGGGCTCAAGGCTCTCTTGGGGCCGCTGCAGGAAGCCGTTCCCTTGCTGGGGCTGCACGGGGCCAGTCACTGCTCCCTCCATTAGCACCTATGGCTGTGACCAGGACAGCTGTGTGGTGCTTTGACACAGGTGAACATGGGCCTCTGCTCCTCGCAGCCCCTGCGAGACCAGAGAGCTCTTGAATTCTGACCTTCAAACCTCATCCCCCTTCGCTGCTGTTCTCTTTGACTCCTGTTGCTGCCCAGATTTTCCCAACAGCTGTCCTCTGCCTCTCTGGCTTTGTGCCTGGATCAATCTCCCTGCATCTGCGCAGTGACCCCCCTCGCTCCACAAGGTCCTCCCTGAGTTCCACCTTCCCTGCAGCCTCCAGCCCCTGAGCCTAAGACTCTCTGCAGCCCCCCCGGTGGCTCTGCCTGATGGAGGGAGTTCGGGGAACCTCTGGCTCTGCTGGGCTTTAGTGGTCCTGCTGCTGGGGGATCAGCACCATAGGGCTCCGACCTCTTTCCATTTGTAAACCCCCAAGCACAAACAGGTCTTAGTAAATAATAATAGTGTGATGAAGCGGTATAGATGGAAGAGATCTGACAGCCCCCATTGAATGTGACCTGAATGCGCAGCCCTGTTCCCTCTCCTCCCTGCATGCAGCAACCCCCTGCTCCTTAGGGCATAAATTACTTACCATTCCCTATAGAATTGAGGGCATGGTTAATTCACTAGCACAGTCCTGCTGCCCAGCAAAAAATGATGATGTTTTCTCTCCTGCGCCGGCTCGGTGCATGTGCCTGCCTGATGAAGGGAGGCAAAGGCTTTTTACTTTCAGGCCCTCTGCTTCTTTCTGAGTCTTAGGTCTTGTCTGATGCTGCGGTAGAACAGACAAGGTGCACATGTTGGAATATTTGCAAGTGGAAGCCAGAGCTATCATCCAAACACCTTTCTTGCAGTAGCTGGAATAGCTGGCCACAGGAGGCAAGCGGGCATTTCCTGGTCTGAATTCTTCCTGACCACGTGTTTTAAGCAGCCACTCACATTCGGTATCTCCTGGGTCCCATCTGGAGCCTGAGTGGGAAATTGTGCTCCTAGCAGTGTTTTGAGATGTAAAAATCACTAGTGTGGAATGGCTGTGAAGGATGCTCAGTGCACAGTGAGCAGGCTAGACAAAATATGTCCTTAGGGCTCAGCAGCGTGTAAGCGAGGCAGTGTGATGTGTGATTTGTGGGCTATTAGTAAGTCAACAAAGAGTCTGCAGTGGGGCTCAGTGGAGGACTCAGGCTGGACATGCAAAAGCCTCTGTAATGTTATCGTACAGAGCACTTCTCCCTGGGAGGGATCCAAAGCATCGTTTGTGGAGTTGAATTCATATCATAATTCATGGGGCATGTGATGGGCTACATTCATTTAGGCTGCTTCTTCTGCATCCTTCCTGGAAACTCATCTAGTAAGAGCTGGCCTCTGACATGTCAAGGTTCAAACATCCGTTGTTTGTTAATTGCTGGCAGTAGAAGTGCTTCTTTTTTGCCTTGAAATGTGGAATCCCTTCCTAGAATTGCACTGGGGACTTATAAAGGTCGGTGCCAAGTTTAATATATGCTATCTCACAAATTATCTGGATTAAATACAAGGACTGTGTACTGCCAGAGAGGGGATATTCCCAGCCTAACGTTGCTTCAGGGCCATGGAGATCCCAAGACATTGGACCTGAAAATTGCAATTTTCTTATGTGTGTGGGAGGGGTTTGGCAGGAGTGTTTGGAAGTGGTCATATATGCCTGAGCTAGAGAATTAATTGCCATAAAAACTATGATTTTGTAACCAATAGTTACAGCTGCAGGAAAGATCAGAAAGCATCTGAATAAATAAAATTAATTACCTCCTGCTTCATCCATATGAGAGCATAACCTTTCAGGGCAAGATTTAAACCACAGTCCAGCTGATCTCTAACTCTCCCAACTATGAAATTAAGAGAGCAAGAAGACCAGAAATACAAACAAGTAAAGCAGGAGGGAGTGGGGACTGCCACGCTGGCTGATGTGAGGAGACTGGTCTCTACTGGAGGCATATAAACTCAGAGGAGGGCAACGAGGAGGCAGCCTGCTGCTGTGAAAATATCACAGGCTCTCAGAGGCCATTGGGCTGTGCAGTCCAACCACCCACGGTACTGGACAGACAGTGGTTCCTGTTAATTGCTGCACTAGTCCACACCTCAACTTGCTTGTTCCTGACCTTGACTCGTATGTTTCTGATGCCTTAAGGTGGAGGGTTCACCTCCTGTCTCTTAGCATTTCCCTGTCTTGCTCTGGCTGTTATTCTCCACACAAGCCTTGGAATGGCAAGGTGAATCCCCACTCACCCCTGGCCTTCCAGATTTTGAACCACTTGCTGTTGTGTGCCAGTGAGGAATGTCAGCCTTGTAATTGGAGTGGGTCCAGAAGAGACCACAAAAATGGTGTGAGGGCTGGAACACCTCTGTGATGAGGACAGGCTGAGGGAGCTGGGGTTGTTCAGCCTGGAGAAGAGAAGGCTGCAGGGAGATGTTATTGCAGCCTTTCAGTACTGAAACAGGCTCTATAGGAAAGATGGGGACAATCTTTTTAGCAAAGCCTGTTGTGACAGGACAAAGGGTTTTAAGCTCAGTGAGGGTAGATTTAGACTGCATATAAGGAATAAAATTTTTATTATGAGGGCGGTGAAACACTGGCACAAGTCGCCCAGAGAGGTGGTGGAGACATTCAAGGTCAGGTTGGACAGGGCCTTGAGCTACCTGATCTGCTTGGGGATGTCCCTGCTCACTGCAGGGGGGCTGGACCGGATGACCTCTAAAGATCCCTTCCGACCCAGACCACCCTGTAATTAATCTCAAATGTCTCCCTTTTCGCCGCTTCGCCCCTCGCTCAAGGGCGGAGCTCCCCACGCCCAGCAGGGCTCGCTGCGGGAGAAGGGGCCGCGCTCCGCGCCCCCGCGCCTTCAGGAGGTTGCGGCGCTGGACAGCTCCAGGCCGCCGCTCCCCGGCTCCCCCGGGTGCGCAGGAGCTGGCGGCAGCGGGGCCAGGGCAGAGCGGCCCGGGGCTTATGGGGAGCCCTGGAGGGGATGTGGGGAGCCCTGGGGGGCTGCCGAACAGAGGGTTTGCCGCGGGGAGTGAGGATGAGGGCCCGGACGCTGTCGCCTCTTCCCGGGGCGCGGTGGCTCCATGCTCAGCAGAGGCGGCAGCAGTCGCTGGAAGGGCTGGTCTGCTGACATGTGTCCCTCCCTCCGAAAGACTTACGTTCCTACTCTTCCTATTTCCTAATCCCTCAGTAATGTGGATTTCAAGTAAATTTTGGTGCCAGTGAGATGCTGACCCGGGGCTGGGAAAGTTTCCAGTCTTCCCTGTCTCCTCCCAGCAGCTGGGGCCATGGGGTGCAGCGGACACACCAGGCCTGAGGAGTGGACCAGTGCCCAGAGCCATGCTGTGGCCCTGCTCCTGTCCCAGGGCTGTTGGGCACCTGGAGCAGGGACAGGAGCAGAGCCCATCCTGAATTGCTCCCTTCTGCCGTGATGCACAGCCAGGGAAGTGGCAATGCACCACGGCGGATTGGGTTCGTGGCTCAGCTCAGTGACATCCCACTTTTGTCTCCTCACAGGCCAACCCTGCTCCCATTATCGTGAACACAGACTCGCTGGAACAAGGGCTTTCTGTAAGTCACCTGGTTTTGTTTCCCTTCCTTTGAAAAAACAGTGCATTTTCCCTGTTCGGCAGTGCAGGGAAGGCTCCTTGAGCCCAAGGAGGCCCCAGCGACGTGGCAGAGGAGCCTGGTACCAGCGCCAAACTTCACTGGGACTGGGTGATGCAGAGCAGAGCCAAGGTTAACAGCACATGGAGGGTACCAGGCAGGAGGCATGCAGAGGGGTGCACTGGGGGTAAGCAGGCATCAGAGGAGGAGGGGGAGCTGGGCTGGCTGTGTTCAGAGCTCTTTCCTCACTGGCATCATACCCACTGATCCTCAGGGCAGCGGGGCCATTGGATGCTGCTCCTCTCCCAGTGGAGGCTGCCAGCAGCTGAGCAGTGCTCAGTGACTGTGAGTGTTTGCAGCCACAGTGCATTTGGCACTCTTGGCGTACTCTAAAGATGATCCTCCTCGATTTGTGGCGGAGAGGGTTTGTGTGCTGCCGCATCTCTTCCCAGAACATTAGCATACCATTCCTGCCGGGGGATGAAGGGTGGCCAGTGTGGATTTCTGCAGCACTGGCTCTGTGCTCATCGGGGGCTCCCTGGTTTTTCCCCAAAGGGAGCTCAGTTGACAGCTAGTCAGGACTGGGTGCTTTGCACCTGGTTTTCTTCTGATGCTGCAAATTTCAGTTACCTTCCACATTAATGAAGTGGCAGCAGGGCTCAGAGCTGGTGTTGGTTTGTCTTTGGAGTCATGATGGAGGGCTGCAGGTGACTTCTGGTGGCTGAACCTTCCTTGTGAAGAGCTGCAGATCTCAGCCGACAGCCTGTGGTGGGGCCAGTGTACATCAGAGCTGTGCTGGGCTGGTTGGGCAGGGCTACAAAAAGGAAGGGAAACCCATCTGAGACCTCTGCATCCCTGGCTGTATGTTTCGATTGTGCCTCAGGTGCTGGCCCAAAGCCACCTTACACTGGGGAGGAAGGTGCTGGTGCCTCTCAGTCCTGGGGTCCAGCAGCCTTGTATGGACATGGCAGAAAAGACCTGCTGTCCCCAGAGGTTCCCTTCTCCAAACGCGTGGCGTGACAGGGTGCTTGTGAGGTTGGAGGCCTCTGGCAGTGCGCTGGGCACCCCAGCTGCAGGGCAGCACCATGTGGCAGCCTGCGCTCACCCGGCCTGTGCCGTTCTAGAGGGACCTGGAAAAGGGCCATGTCCTGGAGGGGAAGGACGCACCGCAAGGTTGGACTGGAGCAAGTGAGGAGTGTGCTGTGGGCAGGGAGATATCCCAGGGTGGAGACTTGTCCTGGTTTACTGGGACAGAATCTTAAAATCGGTTTTCTGTTCAGGAAAACTGCCGTTCTGTAAGGACCACAGCACGCTGTTTCATGGGAACAAAGTGATCAGACGTTCTGTTATGTTTTTGGCTAATGCTGGTATGTGATGCTCAGGGTCTTCAGCAGTTGTGAGATAACCAGGTGCAGAGGCTGGAGGAAGTTGAAACACGGGGCAGTTTACACCAGGCTGCCGTATTAGTGCTATTCCCTACCATAATGGTCCCATTCACTATAAACTGGAGAGTTTTCTGGAGAGGGCCTTTCCTCCATCTTCCATGGCTGTCATCTCAAGAGGGACTTGTCTGCCATCCCACACTCGAGCCCTACTCCCAGACTGTATTGGCTGAGTATAACTCTGTGTACTTTATATTAATACTGTTATTAATATCAGTTTTTATTATTATTATTTTATTAAACGTTTCCATTTTAAAGGCAGCTCCTTCTTGCCCTGCAGGATGGCAGCTCCCTTCCTGCAGGCCCTGGGGTGGGTCTGGCTGGTTTTCGGAGCTCAGTTTCAGAGCTTTCGGTTTCAGAGCAGGGGAGACACCTCACCTTGATTCCTCCCAACCTCCAGCCTGGAAACCCTTTTTGCCTTCTACTTCATGTCATACCAGCACAGAAATGAGCCCTGCTGCATCCCTTCCTTCTCTGGGGTGCCAGGCTCCTCAGGCTCCAGGGAAAAACCCCCATTCGGCAGTTTCCCAGGTCAGCAAAGAAGCTGCACCTGGGGCTTGTTGCAGAAGAGCACACCAAAATGGCAAATCTGGCAGCATGTTTTTTACAAACCCAAAATCTGAAGCCTGTTGGCACAGTATGTGCTTGGAAGGGTTAAAGTCACATCTTCCAGTCTGTAATTACTTAACTATTCAATGTTTCCTTGATAAACAGATGGATGTAGTCTAGTGCCTTCCTTTTCTAGCTCCATTGATTGCATTGGACTGGCTGCTGGGCTGAATTTGGCCCCGGCGGCTTATCAAGAAGTCTGCTCCACATTTCAGTCTTTCTGTCCACCCTCCTCCCTCCTCCACCCCAAGAGCATGTGGCACCAGCAGCACTGTAAGGTACAGTGCTCTGCACCCCCAAAGTGTAAAATCCCAAATAAATTCCTATAAAATT